ATAAACCATGCGTCTCCAATCCCGGAGTCCCTGACAGGAAGTGGTTAATGCTACTTTTGCTCTTTGCCAGACAAAACAATTATTTCAGCAAAGTTTGACAATGTTGGCTCTCAGGTAAGCCTTACACATGTCATGGGGTTAGCAGATTACTTAAGTGGATTTTATTGTTGGATTAAATGGGGTTATTTTTGTGGCTGTGAATGAAGCTGTAGGACCTACAGGTAAATGGAAATGCCTGTATTAATAGATCATGTCCTGCCCATAGGGATATATATATTTACATACTGGTGTAAACATGTATGGGGTATTTTTACATGTACATCAAAGTTTGGGTTAGATATAAACCAATATGATTCATAATTTGATATTAATTAGATGAAGAATACAGTTTGATTAATGCACTTTGTCACTTGTTACATTTTTGGAAACATATTTCCTGGAACTTAAGTCAATCATTGATGATATATTGATATTTCTGAGAGCTTTTATTATGTTGTACATTTAATATTAGGCATTCCGGAACTCATTTTGATAATGGAACTTCTTTTTGAAATGAAGCAAGATCCTTGAAAGTACTTCAAAGTTAGCATGTCTATATCTGCATGGTTTCTTTGACTCTAAGGTACCAGGTGCTACCCACATGTATTCGTTATGACTTCGCTAACATCAGTTGTTACCACAGTTGGTTCAGATTGTAATTCAGATGAGACCCAGGTAGCTATGGTGGGTGTGTCATCAATGCCATTCACTGAGTGAGCTGAAAGTATTTTGCAAGTGGTATGGACTCTACCTCAGAATCAGGCTTTTTGCAGAGACATGAATGGTGGAGTTATCTTTGGCCCACAGTACACGGAGGCAGTCTACACTGTCTATTCTGTCTGCCACAGTCTGAAAAGTCTGAAACTTGAGCAGTGACATGTGCGTGCTAATATCCATTTGGAACTGGCTGTTCCTTGTGTTAGAACTCAGGACAAGCACGGAAAGAACTGAGAAAAATCCAGGATCCTGGTTCATGTACTTAATACAGTTTTATTACCAATTGAGTGTCATCATTGATGAGTGTCATCATAAGATGAGCATCTTATTCATTTTACTCACCTTATTCACCTTAATTATTGTTGTTGAATTTTGTGTTCATAATCATAGCATTACAGTAGGTAATCACATTTAACAAAACTGATTTTGTGGTTCAGGAAGTAGTGTTGAATTAAAAGTGTTTAAATCAAAAGAAGGAAAGATCTGTTTTGGCAGTTTTTGTAAGTATGGGTTACACTTACATCACTGAAAGGAATTTCATATCTTTTATCAAATTTAAGTTGCAACAATCCTGGATTGGACCAGAAGCAAGGGTCAGGTAGACCTGAATTTGCTCCATTTCACGCTGCAAAAATGCAAGATGAGGTATTTCAAGGTTGATTTTATATAATTAAAAAATGTTGAAGTTTAATTGCTTGTAAGTTGAAAGTGGTTACAGTGATTTGCACAACTCAGGATCAGGGTCAATATATGTATAACTTTGAAAAAGAACTTGAATACATCATGCAAACTGTTTTGTTTTCAAAGAAATAAACAACATTTCTATTTATAAATCTTGCAGAAACAAACTGGAGAATATATATCTTGAACAAACAAACAAACTTGGGAGAAGTAGATCTTGCAAAAACAAAATTGAAAAAGTATCCTTCATAAAAACAAAATTGGAAAAAATATACTTCATTAACATGAACTTTGACAAAATATGCCTCACTTTTTGAAAAGACATACTTGACAGCACTCCAGGGCTTTCCAAAGATGGAGAGAAAGAAAGATGTATTAGAACGAGTCTAATGCACTTAACTATGGTGCTTCCTCTTAAGCACGCTCAATGAAGGGATGAGTTTTTGCAGGAATTAAATTACCTCTTGGCAAATGAACTTTGGGCTGGACTTGAAAGAACATGATTTGCGACTTGCCATAACTAATTTGATTTTGTGATTAACGTTTGCTAAAAATAACAAACACACTTTTTGGTGTCTGAACATAGTTTGAAAGAATGCCCCTTCAACACCGGTCCTTTTTAATGTAGGCTTGCGATCGCGAAAGCAAGCTGCCAAAGAGGCATGTCCATTTGTGGCCATTTCGGTGAGGGCGGACCTTGCACGCTGCGATTGGAGGCCCAGGCGTGTGTATTCTTAGCCGTTGCAGCATTCATTTTTCAAAGCAGCGATTATTCGTTATACACCATACGTGCATATGATCTCTAAGCATAACTAAAGAACCTTCTTCAAGCGGCTGGAAAGGAACTACATGTATAACCCCATGCTTCCAAATTAATGTAGAAAGAATCTTTATAGACTGATAAAAAAATTCACGCAATTTGTGTACTACTCCTCAAACACATTGGAATAGACTTTGTATAAATGTTATCATTATAAATTGTAGACTATGGAAAATGAAAACAAGGTACCATAAGACAACATTTGCAAATAATGAGACATTCACACTCCAATTCTCCCTACATGCTGCCTCTGATGCCAGTTGTGATCGACGTTCAGGGCCGTGTCTGAAATTGCCTTGCAGAGCTAGGTCCATTGTCTGCATGTCTCCGTTTATTTCTAATGGAGTCACGACTTAGCTCTAAACAACAGTCTCGCGATAAAAGAGTAGTTTTGGCTTTATAGACTTTGGTTTCGCTGGTTCCTACTATCTTGAAGCAGTGGCCAAAGTCTTGCGTTCAAGCTCTTACTCCAGGTGCAGGAATGAGGCAGCACTAATTCAAGGCAGTCACGTTTTTGTCAGTTGCCATTACCATTGATGCAGGGAAGGATGGAAATGTTAGTGCCTTGGTGCAGGGAGCCCACAGCCGCTCCACAGGATTC